CAGACTTGGTACCAGATGCACCTCCAAAGAGCACAGGGCCGTGTGCGAAACATCTTGGAGCAAGCCCGGAAACCATTTGTATCCAGTTCTATTCCGATGAGCAACCGACCCAAAAGGTTCCTCATCGCTATAATTGTTGCATTAGTTTGTGCCACTGTCGGTGCAGTTGTCGCAACTGGAATGTCTGCAGCCAACTCTAATACTGTCCAAAAGCTGGATATGGAAATCTATGCGCTAAAGCAACACATTAACGATATTCATCAGGTGATACAATAGCAAAGAACACTTCTCCAAGGCGTGTTAACTAATGTGGAAGACACAGTTGTTACGACAAATTTGCATTCAGAGTTAATTGCCAAATCCACTGAGTTGCACCAAAGTCATGACTTATTTAAGCGTGAACTTCTATTTCTGCATGACCCAATATTGTTCCACACACTTGCTTTTCTTGACGAAGTGCAAACTGGAATGATCGAATTGGCAGGGGGACGCATACCTCTGTATTTTGTATCCAAGGATATTGTTCATGCGATGCTTGCCAATGTGGATGGAGAAACAATTGAGCCTATGCAATTAAATCTGGCCTTTGAGATGGGGAGCGCTATACCTCTCTTAATTGATCCGGAGCGTATGGAGATTTGCTTTTTATTGACCATACCGTATGTAACTCCCAAAGACATTTGTCAAATGAAAATAATGTACTATGTTAGAAATGATGTGATTGCACAATATGTCTAGTAACTTCTATAGTGCTTATTCATAAGCTAAATTAATTTTGGCTATGAAATGCACTAAAGGGGGGTTATGTCAGAGTATTTATATCGGCAGACATTTTGTGCTATGATAGAAACTAAAAGTGTATATTCTGAGTCACTCTGAACAGACCAGACTCCATTTTGTTATTTCAAGTTAACAAAGAAGACACTAGATTTCTTTCTGTAAGACTGGCCTCTTTGCCAGAGCTAAGGAATGTATAGCATAGTATAAACAAGTGATAAGAAGAATATAATCAAATCTAAACCCAGACAATTGTGACAGAGAAGATTAAATAATTTAATATTTAACTGTCTATACATATAAGGTACCATTGTATGGAAAAGGGTAAACTTAGTTCATGATCTGTCATATCAGAAATTATAGCAGATTTGCAGACACATAGTCTGGACGAAATTTAAGAACCCCTTTGATCTTTGAAGGATACGTAAGTTATAGCCACTATCTAGATAGGCCAAAATGACGTCAAAATAGCCACCAGGAAAAGTTAACTCTTTCCTGGATAGGTATGTTTAGTGGGACAAGACTGCCCTCTACAGACCAAATAACTAATTTGCGATCTGGAAGATAACCACACCTCTAGTGCTTCTATTGGGTTATCAACTGATGACGTACAGAGAGTCTGGCCCTTTAAAAGTTAAGACAAAGGGAAGATAGAGAGATAGGAGAGAGGAGGCAGATGCAAGAGATGCAAAGGAGAGGAGAGAGGAATTGGAAGTTTGGGGACTCCAACTCGGACAACATCTGAGGCTAACACTCTACTCCTAAAACTCCAACACTTAGAATTTACTGACTTTCTAACCAACACCTCCATGCAGAGAGACTACCAATCAGATGAAATATCTACTCAACTGGTAATTATACTGGTTTCATTTAATTAAATTAAATTAATTAAAATGTATTAATAGCATTATATATGACTGGATAAAGCACGGTCAGATTTCCATATTAAGAAATCTTAGTTAACTAAGAATATATAGTTATAAACATTCCATTCTGCAGGTGGAATTAAGAATAATTATATATTGATGTGATATTATCACGTGTTAGCATACCGCTGTTTTTATCCAGGTGTATTGATTTGCTCTAAATTAAGATAGATATCTTTTAGACAAATTAAAAATCTGCTTATATAATGTAGTAAATTCTCTTATTGGATGATTTCAGGAAATGACTAGTGAACTGGTTTAAATGTTATTTTATTTAAAATTACATAAGAATAGATCTTAACTACCTAGGAGATCTAGCCAGCATTGAAAGGGTTATTCTAACTGTCGGCTAAACTTTACGACCTTACGCTGCACTCTGAGGAATTCTGTTCTTCCCTGTGAAAAGTTTCACTTTCAGCCTGTGTTAAAGATAGTCATAAATAATTCTTGACAGGAAATGCTATTTAGCCATTGTAACGTAATACCCATTTCTTTGTATTGCATACCATTTTATACTGGATATTCATTGATTATTGTCATGCATGTTACATAATATTATTTGTTAATTATTGATTGTCATATAAATAAAAATCTATTTTTATACATTGTGATTATTTATATGAAATACTTTCCACTTAACACGATAAACGTTCTTTGGGATCTGAGAATTGAATTAGTGGGCAATTCTCACTGTTACTATTATTATCGCATAAATATCCCCACAGGGGGTCACCCTCAAAATCAAGCAAGGGTTTTTTGAAACACTTTGTTGTGTAATTGGGATTCTGTAAACAGAAAAACTGATATTTTTGAGTATGGGAGTATATACCTTTAAGTAAACTAACGGACCGGGGCTTTAAGAAAAAGTATACTTACCAAACAGCTGGGTCGCGTTTGCAGTGAAGAGCCGAAACGAAACCGCCGCACAGAAACCTTTCACAAGATGGCGCTGAGTCAAAAAGCCCGGGAAAAAGGTAAGAGAAATGGCCGAGGCATAGGAGGTGGGACGCGTCTCTATGGAGACGCCAGGGAAACACAAATTGTGTACAAAGAACTGAGCGGCTGAACGGACCGGCAAGATGCTCTAGATTTAAACTGTCAGAGCACAATATAATTAGTGAAAGAAATATGAAGTAATCTGAAGTTGTGGGCTGACTAGAATATCAGCCCACTTAACAGTTGTTAATAAAAGGAGCATACATTGCACATAAATAAAATTAAAGAAACAAAAAAAATATGTAATATATTCAAATGATAATAAATGATAATAGTCAGCTAAATTCAGCATTAATAGGGATATAATTAGAATAGACTCACCTGGGAAGCTAAGCAGCAAAGAAATTGGGAGGAGCCTGATGGCAGTTTATATTACTGTGATGCATGCTGATTGGTTAAACTTTTTACACTGATTGTTAACTGTTTCTTTGCTGCTGGGAGTTACAGTAAAGAAAGATAAGCAAATATGAAGCCTCCTGTCTTGCCATAAAATTATTGGCTTATGTGTACAAAACATTACTACTGTAGAATAGTGATGTCCCGAACGGTTCGCCGAACGGTTCACAAACGGTTCGGGACATCACTACTGTAGAACCCTACCTGACATGGAAGCCATTGGCACTATAAAGGACTTTGATCCTGACTCGGATTTATGGGCCTCCTGGGTTGAAAGGCTTGAACAATATTTCACAGCTAATGATATTCCTGACAATAAACAGGTCGCTGTTTTCCTAACAGTTATAGGAGCCAGAACGTATGATACGCTAAGGAGCCTCTTACACCCAGAGAAACCTGCCTGCAAGCCATTGGCAAGCCTGATTACTTTGTTAACTAGCTATTTCCAACCAAAACCACTAGAGATAGCAGAGAGATTTAAATTCTATAAAAGAAGACAAGAGCCTGGTGAATCAGTTTTAGCATATGCCATTGCGTTACGGAAACTCGCCAGCACCTGCTGTTTTGGGGACTACCGGCCCACTGCTCTGCGGAACCAGTTTGTAATGGGCATTGTAAGTGATACAGTGCTAAGGAGACTGCTTACAGAAGAAGATTTAACATTTAAAAAGGCAATGAACATGGCAGGCATTATAGAACAAGCCTCTAAGGATGCTAATCTATTACACAGCAGACTGGACAACACACAGGAGGCAGAGGTAGACGTTTTAAAATTAGATGCTAGAGCACCAAGTGAACCACAGGGAAAGAGACTTTCAAAACAGGAACATTCACATTACAAATGTTATCGCTGCAGAGCTACTACACATGTTGCAACTGCATGCAGATTCAAGGATGCCAAGTCTCATGTTTGTGGTAAAATGGGCCACCTACAAAGAGTGTGTAAATCCACAGCAGAGAGAGGCAGTAATCGATTGAGAGACAGAGCAAAGAATGCCTATAGAGTACAAATGTAGGAGTCTTCTGAGGATTCGGATGAACAATTTCCTGTCCGAAATTTAAAAATATATAATATAGGTTCTAATCTGGCTGCATTCACAGTTCAGGTTGTTGTAAATGGAAAGGAACTGACTACGGATTTGGACACAGGTGCAGCTGTATCAGTGATTTCTTTGACAGACTGGAAACGCCTTAAAATACGTAGGCCAATAATTAAGACAACAGCGAGACTGCAGACATATTCTAAAGCGCTGTTAATACCAGTGGGTTGTGTGACAGTCACAGTTACATTCAACAAGTGTAAGAAGAAACTACCTCTCTATATCTTAGAGAATGGAGGACCTCCACTTTTTGGTATGTGGTGAATGAAAATCAGACCAGACTTGACTGGATTAGGGAATTATAGGAAAAGTATGCACCAGTGTTTGATGGCCAATTAGGGACAGTAAAGGGACAACGTTTCCTTAGAATTAGAGGAAGGAGCAACACCAACATTTCTTAAAGCAAGAAGTGTGCCTTTTGCTCTAAGGGCTGGAGTGGAGGCAGAATTGAGGAGATTAGAGGAGCTGAATATCATGTTCCTGTGAGAAAACAGAATGGATTTGTGGGGATTTCCACATGGCTCTTAACACACAGTTTAAAATAGATAAGTATCCCCTTCCTAGGGTAGATTATATTTTTGCATCATTGGCAGGTGGCCAGCAATTCACCAAAATTTACTTGAAAAATGCATACCTACAGTTATCTGTACATCCAGATTCTCGACCACTACTTACGATTAATACCCATCGGGGGCTATCCAGGTACAACCGTATGGTTTTTGGCATTTCACCTGCACCAGCTGTCTGGCAGCGAACAATGGACAAGCTGTTAGCTGGAATTCCTGGGACACAGTGCCTGTTAGCTGGTGACGGGTAAATCAGAGGAGGAAGATAAACAGAATGTGGAGGCAGTTTTGCAAAGACTTATGGAATATGGATTGAAAGTGAATTTGGATAAATGCCAATTCATGCAGGATCGTCTTGAATTTTGTGCTCATGTAATTGACAAACACGGGCTGCATACAACAGATGAGAAGGTCAAGGCAATACAGGATGCTCCAAATCCACAAAATGTGACACAACTAAGGTCCTATCTTGGTCTGTTAAATTATTACAACCGTTTTTTGCCAAATTTAGCTCA